CAAATGTCTTACCCGCTGTGCTATTGCTCCAGCCCTAGAAAGATGGAGTTTGGTAGGGGCTTAGGGAGGGTTTGGTTTTGTTTTGTTTTGTTTTGTTTGCTTTTTGGGTCACACCCGGCAACACACAGGGGTTACTCCTGGCTCTGCACTCAGGAATCACCCCTGGCGGCGCTCAGGGGACCATATGGGATGCTGGGAATCGAACCCGGGTCGGCCGCGTGCAAGGCAAACGCCCTACCCGCCGTGCTATTGCTCCAGCCCTGGGAGGTTTTTTTTTAAGACTAGAAATTTATTTTATTTGGGTTTTTGTTTAGCACTGGTGGTGCTCAGAACTTACTCCTAGCTCTGTGCTCAAGGAACACTCCTGGTGGTGTTCAGGGGACCATTTGTGGTGCCGGGAATCAAACCAGAGTCGGCCAAGGAGAGTGCCCTCCCGCTATACTGTTTGGTCCCAGAGAAATGCGAAGAGTTCTGGAAGAGCGTGGGTTTCTTTTTTAGGATGATATCAATGGCTTCAAGTGAACTGATGACGAGCACATCTAACTCCAAAGTATTAAGAACAGAATAAATAGTAAAGATGATTGAAAATTACCCTTGTTTGGGGGTGGAAAAGATGGGACTTGGACCCCTTCTGGCAGTGTTTGGGGGTTATCCTTGCTGATCCTTGGGGGACCATGCATTGCTGGGGATCAAACCAGGGTTGGTCAGGGCCGGAGCGATAGTACAGCCGGTAGAGCTTGCTTGTGGCCAAACCGAGTTCGATTCCCCAGTCTCCCATATGGTCCCCTGAGCGCTGCCAGGAGTAAGTCCTGAGCACCACCAGGTGCTCAAAGAAAAAAAAAAAGAAAAGAAAAATTTTCTTGCTGGGAATGGCCCCCAAACAAACAAAAACAAAACACTGGGATCCTAGACCAGCTTCTGAAATGCACTGTGCCTTCATCACCCCAACTGTCCAATATAATAATAATAATAATAATAACATAATAACAGGACTGGCCACATGTAAGGCAAGCGCCCAACCCATGTACTGTCTCTTCAAGCCCCTTTGGGGTTCCAAGGCCCCGGGTTTGATCCCTAGCCCCACATACAAGCACTACTGTTGCGGCCCCCAGCATAAAAATCTGACAATAAAAAACTCAGAAGCCAGGGCTGGAGAGACAGCACAGCGGGAAGGGCATTTGCCTTGCACGCGTCCGACCCGGGTTCGATTCCCAGCATCCCATAGGATTCCCCAAGCACCGCCAGGAGTGATTCCTGAGTGCAGAGCCAGGAGGAACCCCTGTGCATCGCTGGGTGTGACCCAAAAATCATTGATATAATACATATTAAAAAATAATTCACTAATAAATAAATATTTTTAAAAAACTGGAAAGGTGGGGGCTGGAGTGATAGCACAGCGGGAAGGGCATTTGCCTTGCACGCGGCCGACCCGGATTCGATTCCCAGCATCCCATAGGGTCCCCCAAGCACCGCCAGGAGTGATTCCTGAGTGCAGAGCCAGGAGGAACCCCTGAGCATCGCCGGGTGTGACCCAAAAAGCAAAAAAAAAAAAAAAAAAAAAAAAAAAACAACTCAGAAGCCAGGTCTGGGCGAATCCAGTTCTGTGTTAATACAATTGGGAAAAGATTCGAATTTAAGAATGTGGTCTTTGGTCAAAAGAATCTGGGCAGGGCTCTCCCACGTTTCTTAGCGGTGTGACCTCAGGTGACCTGGCTGCAGCTTTACTGGGGATCCTGCCTGCCACCAAGGTTGGGAGGATTAAGCTGGCAGCCTCCAGGGCCCGCAGCTGGGGGGAGACCACTCCCTTGGCCCTGCCCCCACTTCTCCCCTCCCCCGAGGTACCCCAGGGCTGGCCTTGAAGGTCCTCCCCCTCCCCCCCCCCCACTTCCCTTCCCCCCTTCCCTCTCTCATGGGGACCCTCTGAGCAGAGCTGGGGGCGGCCTCATGGTTCCAGGGCCTGGCTGACAAGGGCCGGGACCCCCATCTCCCTCCTCTCGTGCCGGGGATCAAACCCGGGGCTCCCACATGCAAAGTGTGACCTCCCACCCTGTCCTTTGAGCCGTCACCCCCACCTCCCTTTTTGTCTTCAGCCCTTTTCACAGGTGGACAAACTGAGACGCAGAGCGTGAGCTTCTGGCCAGAGGTGACGCTTGGTGATGCAGTTAGAATTGGGAACAGGGAGCCCCTGACCGCACCCCGTCCCCTCCGGGCCCAAGAGCAGCCCCCTGGCCTGCTGCCATGTGCCGGGAACCCTCTCTCTGGAAGCGGGGAGCCCAGTGGTACCAGATGGGGGCGTGGGGCTGCAGAGGTGGAAGCCCTGTGTGTGTCTGTTTCCAGGGCACTAGGCAAGCTCGTTCAAGAGGAGGAAAATGAGTGAAGTCGCCACTGGAGGCAGAGTCGGGGTGTACCGGGGCTAGCTCAGGACTCCCCAGCTCTGGGGGACACACCCAGGACGGGCACCGACAAACAGCAGCCCCCCGGGGAAGCTCGGGACAAGGCTTCACCCAGGATGCCACACGGCCCCAGTGGGAGACGCAGGGAGCGTCATCTGGTTTGGCCACTTTGGTCCTGCAAGGGGCTGGCTCCAGCCCAGGGACCGCAGGCCTTGGCAGGGCCCGGACCTTCAATGAGGCTCTTCTAGAACTCTCCCTGGGGCAGAAACCTGAGGCCAGGTGGGGAGGGCAGTTATCATGGACACAGCCACTCACTGCTCAGTCGGGCGCTGAGGGCCCCTCCTCCGGGCAGCCCGCCTGGTGGCCCCGGGTGTGGCCACGGATGTTCAAAGAGCCTTTGTGGGCAATGGGGACACACAGAGGGGGCGCCGAGGGATTCAGAGCTTCCGATCTGGGGCTCCCGGGTGGGAAGCCAGGGGGTCATGGAGTGAGGAGTGAAGTGTGGTCGGAGGGAAGTGAGCGCTTTCTGGAGAGACTCAAGAGTTTTATAGGAGTCTGGGACCCCCACACCCCACCCCCAACATGAACAGGAAGAAGGTGGGTGCAACTTCCCCGACAGGAAGTCAGAGGTGGGTGGGAAGAGAGTGGGAGACAGCCTCCATCCTCGGCTTTTGTTTTGCTTTGTTTTGGGGCCACACCTGGCGATACTCAGAACTGACTCCCGATTCTGCACTCAGGGATCACTCCTGGTGGTGCTCGGGGGACCCTATGGGATGCCGGGGATCGAACCGGGGTTGGCCACATGCAAGGCAAACGCCCTCCCCGCTGTACTATCGCTCCAGCCCCAATTAAAAATAAACAAAAACTTTATTTTTTTTTTCCTTTTTGGGTCACACCCGGCGATGCTCAGGGCTTACTCTTGGCTCTGCACTCAGGAATTGCTCCTGGCGGTGCTCAGGGGACCATATGGGATGCTGGGAATCAAACCCGGGTCGGCCACATGCAAGGCAAACGCCCTCCCCGCTGTACTACCGTTCCAGCACCAATTAAAAATAAACAAAAACTTTATTATTTTTTTTTCCTTTTTGGGTCACACCCGGCGATGCACAGGGGTTACTCCTGGCTCTGTGCTCAGGAACCACCCCTGGCAGTGCTCGGGGGACCATATAGGATGTTGGGAATCGAACCTGGGTCGGCCACGTGCAAGGCAAACGCCCTCCCCGCTGTGCTATTGCTCCAACCCCAAAACTTTATTTTTTTATTTATCTTTTTTGCTTTTTGGTCACACCTGGTGATGCACAGAGGTTATTCCTGATTCTGCACTCAGGAGTTACTCCTGGCGGTGCTCAGGGGACCCTATGGGATGCTGGGACTCGAACCCCGGTCGGCCGTGTGCAAGGCAAACGCCCTCCCCGCTGTGCTATCTCTCCAGCCCCCAATCAATCAAAACTTTAAATGGTGGTGATTTGACCCGGGGCGGGCGGGCACTGGTTGAGCCTCTCCGGGTCAGCATCTGCCGGGCACAAGTTTGTGCCCTTGCCTGGGTCCCGTCTCTCACTTTCCGTCCTGGGAGGGACGGGGGGCAGGGGGAGGCCAGCGGGCAGCCGCGGTAATGAGAGGGCCCCGCTTTGATGGCCAGCAGTGGTTGGCATGAAACCAGATCCCTTGAACAGCAGGCTGCAAGCCGCCCGAGTGCTCCCGCGGGGCTCCTCCCTCAGCCGCTGGAAGCCGCCCCCCTGGCCACGCGGGCAGCGACCCCACGGCGCCGCCTGCTGGGCTCCGCGGAGTACTACGCCCCAGACGCCAGGGCCGGGGCGAACTTGGGGATGCCCCCCAACCCCCCCAACCTACCAACTCCGAGGCAGACAGACAGATGGTCCTTCTCCAGCGATGAGAAGCAGCTCAGCGCTCAGGGTGACCCAGCCGAGGAGTAAGGAGGGAAGGAAGGAAGGAGGAAACCGAGGCTGGGCAAGGAGCAGGGATGGGTCGCTTGGGGCACGGGCCAGCCAGGTCCCCCGCCCACAGCCCCATCATGATTCACAGGACAGATGGACACGGGGAGGCCCTTGCGCTGAGCACACCTGGCACCTCTCTCAAACTCAGGGCCGCTTCGACCCCGCGCGTGACAGAACTCGTCAGCACCCAGGGAGTTCCTGGGCAGAGAGGTGTGCGAGGGATTTGAACCCTTCACCCCTGAAGTTTTCTGTTTGGTTCTGGGGCCACACCCAGCAGTGCTCGGGGCTGACTCCTGGCCTGACGGACCATAGGGGGTGCTGGGGATGGAACCCAGGTTGGCTGCAGACCGACCAGGCAAATGCCCTCCCCGCTGTGCTATTGCTCCTGCCCCAAACAGCTCTATTTTTCTAAGCCACGGAGTTCAGGAAGACGGTTCCCTGGAGGGTCCCATTGTAACCTCTGAGCCAGACAAGAAAAAAAAAAAAATCAAGAACCCAAACCACACAGCGATATGATTCCAAAATAGAGATTTTTATTCAAGATTCTTTCGTGTCTGTGTTAAAAATCACCAATTGCTTCTCATTGGGTTGTGTTTGTTCGTTTCTTTTTTTTCCTTAAAAAAAAAAAAAACACACAACACACAACACACAACACACACATTAACGATTCTTTGGGAGTGACTCTGCCCGCCCAGACAGTTCCGCTTCTCGCTGGCCGGGCAGGATGCTTAAGGCAGTGAGGTGCTTCCCGCGTCCCCCCCCCCTTGAGAGGACCCCCACGGTGGGGGGGGGTGTTTTCCCCGGGGTGCAGGAGAAGGAAACTGCAGAAGAACACAGTGCAGTCGTCGGGGGGTGTGCCGCTGTTCGTCTGAGCGCTCTGAAATTAAAGCCCCCTCCTCAAGGACTCGCTGGTTGGTCTGAGCTATAAAAAGCTGGGCCCAGAGGGCGAGAGCGGGCAGCTCTGTAATCAGGGAGCCGCCCGCGGGGCTGCCCGACCACAGGCGCGCACGGGCCAGGCTGCTTAAAAAAAATAAAATCCCCTCCCGGGTGGGGGGCTCTGTGTGATTTCAGATCCAAGCCCTGGTCCCTGACACGCCCCAGACCGCTTCCGCCTGCGTCTCACGAGGGTGCTTGTCTTGGGGGGGGGGGGTGCCGATGGTGTGGGGGGCGGAGGGGCCGTGCTCGCCTGCGTGATTAAAAAGGAAAAAAAAGGAGCCCCTGGGACTTGGCTCATTGGATCCCCCGCCCACCCCCACACACAGAAACCAAAGCGTCAGGCCCATCGTGCGCCGGCGAGGTCCCAAGGCGACCTGCAAGGAGGACGGCTGTGTCCTGCTCGGTGGGGACAGACCCCAAGGGTGTCTTGCAAATTAAAACAAAAAAAAAAAAAAAGGAAAAAATGGGCGTGTGGGGCGCACGGCGGCGACACAGTGCAGTGGGTGGGCGTCTGCCTGGCCCGCGAGGCCCACCCGGGTGGATCCCCGACATCCCATCAGGTGTCCTGAGCTCTGCCAGGAGTCGTCCCTGAGTGCAGAGCCAGGAGTCAGCCCTGAGCATCGTGGGGTATGGCTCAAAACGAAAACCAAAAACAACAAAAAAAAAAACAAAAAAACTGCCCCCGGTGGGCTTGTGCGTGCAGCCCCAGGCCGGGCTTAGCGGCCTCAGGGAGGCGCTGGTGTCCGAGGGGCCCCCCGGAGTGACCCAGGGCCACCTGGGGACGCTGCCGGCCGGGCGCCAGGGCCTAGACCTTGTAGTTGAGCTCCGCGTTCATCTTGGTGTACATGTCGTAGATGACGTCGATGGTGGCCGTGAAGTTGACCAGGAAGAGGCGGGTCTTCTCCAGGCACTCCTCCTCGGTCACCTTCTGGCCCTTGGACAGCGCCTTCAGGAAGTCCGACTTGTAGGGGGCGGCGTAGAGCGCGGCCTGGGCGGGCGAGAGGGCGGCACCGGTTAGCGTGCAGGGGGCTCCCGGGGTGCGGGGGAAATTGGGGCGATCTGGGAGGGGCTGTCCTGGGGTTTGCGACCGGGTGTGTGTGCCTGTGTGCGTGTGTGTGTGTGTGTGTGTGCTGGGGGCGGGGGGGTGGTGGGGTGTCTGCGCTGCCGGTGTGGCCTTGGGAGGCGTATTTGCCCTCGGACCCCAGCCCGCTTTGGGGTCACAGACCTGGCTTTCAAATTCCAGCTTGTGCTGCCCGCCGACTAGCTGTGAGCCTTGAGCAAGTTACTTAGCCTCTCTGGGCCTCAGTTTCCTCATCTGTAAAATGGGAGTCACGGTGACGCCCAGTGGCTCGGGCTGCCCCAGTCAGGCGCTGAGGACCACGGTGGGGGCCCTTGGTCCCAGGGGAAGGCCCAGGACTCCCTGCAAAAACCTTCCCTCTGAGCGGGGGGACACTGGCTGGGTCTCCTTTGTCCTTAGAGGGTGGGCCGAGGTGCTGGGTCGGGGGAGAAGGGGCACCTGCCTACACTTCTGGACTTCCCCAACACTGGCAGAGTCCAGAGAATCAGAAAGTCACGGAGCTTCAGAGCCAGGAGACTAAAAGGCCTCGCTGGTGATCTTACTGGTAACCAACAATCAAAACGTGGGGCCCAGAGATGGAGCAGGAGGGCACTGGCCTCGCACGCTGCCGGCCGGGGCTCAGTCCCCCATGTGGCCCCCCCATGTGGCCCCTGGAGCACGGCCCGCCAGGAGTGACCCCTGAGTGCAGAGCCCCTGAGCACCGCCGGGTGGGGCCCAGAAGCGGAACAAACCCAAGAAAGAATCAGGATGGACAATGCTGGGCTGAGACGGGGGAGGGCGCCCACACGCGGCCAGGCTGGGTTCGACCCTCGGCACCCCCTATGGCGTCACCCCGCCCGGTGTGGCCCGACTCCGACCCCCCTGGTGGTATGCAGCAGGCGCTGATGCTGGTTCCGTCTCCCCAGGAGCCCTGGGAGCGACCGAGGGGCGTGTGTGAGTCGCAGATGAGCACTCCGGGACGCGGGACCCTCGGTCTGCGTCTGGGAGACCCCCCCGGGCATCGGTGCTGGGCACCTCACTGCCCTCACTGAGGCTGGGGTCCCAGTGCCCACTCCAGAGAGCGGAGCTTCCCCACAGCCCCGCCCCTGGCCGGCCCTCCGCCCGCCCTGCCCGCAGTCCAGGCGGGGACAGCCCGGACCCAGCCCTGCAGGCTCGGCCCTCGGGGGCTGGTGCGGGCGCGGGCTTCTGACCTGGAAGATCTTCTGCACCAGCCAGCCGTGGTACTTCTTCAGGGCCATCTCGTAGGCCTTGGTGGCGTTGACGCGGATGAGGTTGGGGTGGTTCTCGTCCCGCTCCCCGTCACAGATGCTCTGGAGGAAGACCTGGATGAAGCGAAGACCCCTGAGGACAGACAAGAGATGGGCTTTAGGCCAGCAGCCCCGAGACGCTGGGCCTGCACCCCTGAGACCTGAGCCAGCATCTCTGAGACCTGGTCAGCACCCGAGACCTGGGCCAGCACCCCTGAGACCTGGGCCAGCAACCCAACAGGCTGGGCCAGCAGTCCTAAGACCTGGTCAGCACTTCTGAGACCTGGTCAGCACCCCTGAAACCTGGGCCAGCACCCCCTGACAGGCTGGGCCAGACCCTGAGACATGGACCAGCCGGGGCAGGGGCACCCAGGGCAAGGTGGGCTGGTGCAGCCCCCCTGCTTGCAGTGTGTCCCCCCCACCCACCCCTGACCAAACGTGGTTCCTGCCAGGCCTGGGGGTGGGGGGGCACGCAGGCCGGATCTGCCTGATCCACTTCTGTGCCGCTAGCACTGAGGGCAGAAGCCACAGGGCGGGTGCTCAGGGGCTCCCGGCCCACAGAGACTGACACTGAGTGGAACCCTGGGCCAGCACCCAAGACCTGGGCCAGCACCCTTAAGACCTGGGCCAGCACCCCTGAGACTTGGGCCAGCACCCCTGTCTGGACACCCGCTGCCCTGAGCCCTTTGGCGGCCACTCAAGCCCTTCACTGTGGGGCTGGGAAGAGGCTTTTCAGGCCCTTGGGGGTATGAGTGTGTGTGTGCATGTGTGTGCGTGTGTGCATGTGTGTACATGCGTGTGTGTGAGGGTGCATGTGTGAGGTCAAATGCACGCATCAGCCCGTGGCAGGGTGTGACATGACTCCTGTGCAGTGCACAACCCCCACCGCTGTACCTGTCCCTCAGTCCCAGACCTGAGAGCAGATTCCAGAAGCCTCCAGCCAGCCCTGAGAGTTGGGGACAGCCGGGCGTGCTCAGGGCTCAGCCCAGGGCTGGCTCGGAGGCCGGGCAGGGAAGCACAGGTGCCGGCCGGCCTGGGGACCCCGTCCCTTGAGGCACTCTGGCCAACCCCGTGAAGAGCCCAGGGAAGGGGCTGAGACCTTCCTCCCGGTGGAGCTGGGGTCCCTCCTCGGCTGCCCCCCCAGCCCGTCACCTTTTCAGCCACATCAGAGCCAGCGTGGCGCCGACCTTGGGCCACTCAGCCCCGTACATCTCCTTCTCCACCTCCAGGATGTTCTGCAGCGTCCGGAACTTGGTGGGGTCAGTGTCGTACACGGCTTTGATTTTCTGAAACGCAGCACCGGGGGGCGGTCCCTGGGGAAGGCTGGCTGGAGGACCCCACCCCCACACCCGCCCCGGGCCTCCCCCACCCCCACCCCCACCAGCTCAGGGTCACACGCTGGATCAGGTGGGACAGAGATGCTGGGACGCTTCGGACCCCCAGAGCCAAGATGCCCAGGCCTCACTTTGGTGGGCAAGGGGAAGTCAGGCTGGGGTTCAAAAAGTTGGCCCCAGGGCCGGCACGTTTGCCTCGCACGTGGCTCGCCAGGTTCGATCCCCGGCAGCCCGTCCAGTTCCCCTGAGCACCAGCAGGAGTGACTCCTGAGCACAGAACCAGGAGTCAGCCCTGAGCATCGTGGGAGTGGGGCTCCTCCTCCCCCAGCGGGAGCCAGGCGGCTTGGGTTAGTTTCCTGGGGGACCCTCGGGGGCCACACCAGGCCCTGTGCCCAGCGACCATATGCAGTGCCAGGACTCAGATCTGCCACACGGCCAGCGCCTGGCCCGCTGGACTCTGTGTCCAGCCTGGCAGTCTGAGTCTGAACTCCACTCTGGGCACCTCCACGCCAAACCTTAAACTGGGGAGGACAGATGGGCAGGGGGCAGGGCCAGAGGCAGAGCGGGCCTGGGCAGGGGTGCAGGCAACGGGGCAGGGGCAGGGGCAGGGAAAGGGAAGTGACCGCCAGGGGCCTCGGGAGTCAATATATATATACATATATATATCACTATCGCTATCACCCCGTTGTTCTTCAATTTGCTCCAGCGGGCCCAGTAACATTTCCATTCACCCCTGTCTCGTGCAAGTGTAGCCCAATGACATAGGGGCTCCTTCAGGATCAGGGTATTGAGGACCATTCATTGTTACTGTTTTTGACATATCGAGTACGCCACGGGGAGCTTGCCAGGCTCTACCGTGCAGGCGGGATCCTCTCGGTAGCTTGCTGGGCTCTCCCAGAGGGTGGAGGCTTTTGGGGCAGCCTCGAATCACCTTTACAGGTGAGTCTAGTCAGGCATATAGGAGGGTATGATACTCTCAGTAGCCTGCGGGGTTCTCTGAGAGTCAGAACTAGACAATAAGAGGATAAAATATATCTATATTTTTATATGTAAATATATATATATTTTTCCCTTTGTTTTGTTGTTGTTAGAGGTGGCGGGTGTAGGGGTGGGTTCTTTTTTTGTTTTTTCTTTTTGGGTCACACCTGGCGGTGCACAGGGGTTCCTCCTGGCTCTGCACTCAGGAGTTACTCCTGGCGGTGCTCAGGGGGCCATACGGGATGCTGGGAATCGAACTCGGGTCTGCCATGTGCAAGGCAAATGCCTACCCGCTGTGATATCTCTCTAGCCCCCTGGGCTGGGTTTTATACCTAACATGACTCAGAGCTCACTCCCGGCTCTGTGCTCGGGGCTCACTCCTGGTCCTGTGCTCAGGGCTCACTCTGAGCAGTGTTTGGGGGTCTCTCTACAGCAGCAGGGGAACGGTCCTGGGTCGGCTGCCTGGAAGGCAAGTGTCCTGCCAACCCGCTGTCCCGGGTCACCCGGCCCCAGAGCCTGCGTCCTACTGGCTGTGGTGGACAAACCATCCAATGGGCTCCCCTGGGGACAAAGCCTCCAGCTGGGCCTGGCCCCTGACCTAGGGGAGTCTCCCTCGTGTTGGGGGCAGAGGCGGGGGGCCAAGGGGCCCAGCACGTACCGTGATGTTGCCGCTGATGTCCGCCTTGATGGGCGTGAAGACGGCAGAGCCAAGGCAGTCTGGGGGCAAGGAGAGAGGGTGAGTCCCGGCAGCGGGGGCTGAGGGGGTCACACCCTGCATGGACCCGGGGAGAGGCGGAGCCGTGCAGAGGCTGAGGGACTCCTCCCTGCCCTCTCCCCCAGCCCGGGGGATGCACAGCCCAGGGGATGCGGCCACAACGCTCCGGGCTGGCGGGCCAGGTGGGGCTGGGGTGTCTACAGCTGGCCACGCAGAGGCCTGGGGGAGGGCCACCTGCAGGCTGAATTCCACGCAAGGTGACCCTGCTCACCTGGCCGGCCATCTGGAACATGCGAGGGGCAGGGAGAGGAGCCCCGGGGAACGGCACTGAGCGTTCTCAGGGAAACAGCCGGGACCCGAGGGCGAGGGGGTGGGCTGGCACCCAGACTGAGCCCCCCACCCCACCCCCGGGGCTGCCTGTCCCGCCTCTGTGCGCCGACGTTTCTTTTGGGTTCAGGGGTTACCCCAGCAGTGCTCCGGGCTTACACCGGGCTCTGTGCTCGGGGACCGGGTGGGCTCTGGCTCACTGGCCTGTGGGACAGGCCCCTGCCGTGCGGCCTCTGCTGGGTTTCCTCCTGCATTGGGTTCCCCGGGGCTGTCCTGGACCGTGTCCTGCGCCCCACAGGACCGGACCGGGGGCTCGGGTGGCCTCTGCCCGGCTCTGCCTTTGTGGCTCGTCACGACTGGGGCCAAGCCCCGTGACCTGGCCAATGTCCCCCAGGTTCAGCAGCCAGCTGGCCTGTGCGCCCCCCAACCCCCTCTCCTCTGTACCCTCACCTCTGTGGCGGGGGTCCTCCCTCCAGGGCCCAGGAGGGCCAGAGCACGGGGGATCTGGTGACCCCTGGTCCCGGACTCTGGCCGGCTATGACCACTCCCGGGGCCTGCCCTCTGTCCCCCTGCTCGTCTGGCCAAGGCGTCAAGCTCTCCTCCTGCCGAGGCGGGCCTGTGAGGGTGCTGTGACTTGGGACCCCCCAGAACACACTCTCTCCTGGGTCACTTCCCGCAGGCGCCCCCCAAGGCCTCCTGGGCTCAGGTGAGGGAGCCGGAACACAGCCTGCCCATTTCACTGCTACCACAACCATCCCCCCACCCCTGACCGAGCCACCAGGGGCACCAGAGAACTAGAAGGACCCTTCAACCAGGGATGGTCGACCCTCAGTCCCGGAAATCGACACCCCTCCTCTTTCAAACATGAGAGCTCAGGGTCTGGGGGTGGGGGGGGCTTTCCTACCAAATTCAATCCTCGGCACAGCAAGTTCCCACTGACCACCCCCAGGTATAGCACCCCTGGGCCTGAGTGGTGACCAGAGGGAGCCCTGAGGGACCGGAGGGGCGGCACAGTGGGTAGGGAGGGCGCTTGCCCACTCTGGCCGGGCCTGGTACCTCAATGGGGATCTGGGCACTGCATGTGCTCCACCCAGCGCCGCCACCAGGGGTCGCTCCTGAGCACAGAGTCAGGACTAACCCTTGAGCACCGCTGGGTGTGGTGAGAGAGAGAGAGAAAGAGAGAAAGAGGGAGGGAGGGTGGGAGGGAGGGAGAGAACGCATCATCAGGGCGAGAAGACCCAGGTATGCAAGTGCCAAGCTGCCCGCAGCTCCCTGGACCCCAAGCAGAGGCCTCCGAGCAGACAGACGTCTAGGGCCGCTGCCCGCGTGAGGTCATCACCCTTCCCAGCCCCGTGACTCAGGCGGTCCACGGGGCGAGTCCACGAACTGGACAGTGTCCCTCCACCAACCCGGCTCTGCAAAGAGTGTGTGCAGCCTGAGCCCCGCCCTGTGGGAGAAAGGTGGAAAGCGTTTGCCTGGGTGTGGTGGTCACGGCAGCGCCAAGTCCAGAGCCCACTTCCACACCGCGCCCGGGAGAAGAGGCGGCAGGAACGGACCCCAGGCTCACCGTGCGCGTGCATGGTACACTGCGCGTGTGGAATCTTCTGGACCCAGGCCAGCCGTGTCCCGGACAGAGGCACGGTCACTCCCAGCCTGGGGCCTGCGAGTGACTGAGCCCCGCCGGGCCCAGCCCTCCTCTCTCCTTTCCTGGTTCTGGGCCAGCGCCAGCCGTGCTGGAGCTCACTCCTGGCTCTGTGCTCAGGGATCCCTCCTGGTGGTGCTCAGGGGACCACAAGGCGGTGCTGGGGATCACACCGGGGCCACAGATGTGCCAGGAGGGCGCCCACCCCGCTGTCCACTCTCTCCCGGCCTCCCCATTCCCGTTTAACAATGCAGAGGCGCTGGGCAAACAGACGGGGGTGGGGGTCCGGTGCAGGGAGCTGAGACCCCTAGGGTCAGGCTCGCCTTGGCTGAGGGCAAGGTCAGGGGCCCAGAGAGTCCAGGGGGGCTGCCGAGGGCTCAGAGCTCTGGAGCCCACCGCATTGCTGTGTGCCCGTGTGTGCCTGTGCATGCATGTGTGTGTACCCGTGTGGATTGATGCGTGTGTGTGCGTGTGTATGTGCATGAGTGTGTGTGTGTGTGTGTGTGTTTGTGTGTGTGTGCACGTGGGTGTGCGCGTGTGCTGGGCGGTGCAGGCGCAGGCACACTGGGGCATTTGTCGTGGCTCTGGCACGGACGGTGCCACCTGGGCGAGTGCCTGGTCGTGCTTAGCCAGCCTCACCCTTCCTACAGACCTGCCCCTCCCCCCCCATCAACTTTTCTAGTTTGACCAGTTTGGCTGTTTCCTCAAACACTTTGATTTTACTGTTGTTGTCAGCAAATCGGCTCTTCAAAATGCCATTTGTCAGCGGGGGAGGGGCGGCTCAGGGCACTCTCCCGACTCATCATCTCCCCTGAAGCACAAAACAGAGAGTGGCCCAGAGACCTCCAACCTCTGGGTCAGCACGGGGCGGCCCGTGAGCACGGCTGGAAAGGCCCCACTCTAGCCGCCAGAAGGGAAAACCCAGGCGGGCCGGCCTTCCTAGAGACCAGCGCTGAGGGTCACCAGTTCTGCCTGGATCGTGTGCAAACAGTTTCCAAAGCACATGATTCACTCCAGAAGGCATCAGGAAGAGACCAGAAAGTCTGATGACCAAAACCAAAACTCACCTAGATGGGGTAGAGGAAGGTCTCACCGCCCAAGTCCAACAACAAATGATGGGGTGGGCGGAGGAACAGGCTGGCGCGACAGATGACACAGACAAAAGAGAATTATCCGAAGAGAGGAGGGACCCGTATAACAACAATCGGTGGAAATGACCACTCTGGGCAGGAACCGAGTGTTGAAAGTCGGGAAGAGAGGGGCTGGAGCGACAGCACAGCGGGGAGGGTGTTTGCCTTGCACGAAGCAGACCCGGGTTCGATTCTTGGCATCCCATATGGTCCCCTGAGCACCGCCAGGAGTAATTCCTGAGTGCAGGGCCAGGAGTAACCCCTGTGCAACACCTGGGGTGACCCAAAAATAAAAAAGAAACAAAGTAGGTTAAGAGAATATACATGATAACCTTTCCGTATCTGTACTGCAAACCATAATTCCCAAAAGGGGAGGGAAGGAGAGAGAGAGAGAGAGGGAGAGAGAAGTTCCTGCCATAGAGGCGGCGGATGGGCAGGGGAGATCCTTGGACATTGGTTTGGTTATGGGGAATGTACACTGGTGGAGGGACGGGCGTTGGAACATTCTAAGACTGAAACCCAATCACAAACGGCTTTGCCACCGTGACTCTCACTGTAATTCAATTAAAAAAATAATTTTTAAAAGATGATCTATCCTTAATATGTAAAGAGTTCTTACCAACCAATAAGGAGGGCCCCAAGTCTATTGAAAATGGGCAATTCACGGAACCAGAAGGAAGACCCCGAACAACAATCGACCAAAAAAGTCAAGCAGCGACAGACTTGCCCTCCAGTGGGTTACAGGAGGGCACAGGCCATCCCCGGTTCTACCCGGCAAAAAGGGAGGACGAGACTTGCCAACAAGAGCGACCCGTGATTTTCTAACCGAGCCGTCATCACGGCAAGCACTTGGGTTCACGTGCGACCCAGGGATACCAGCGGCCCTGCCCCCTCTTACAAAGTGATGCTCTAAGGCACGGGGGCAGCTGTGGGTGGGGTTTTTTTGTTCTTATTTATTTTTTGGGAGATGGAGAGGGGGTTCCCCTAGCAGTGCTCAGGAGGTCCAGCCAAACAGGCTGTTAATGGGCACTAGGCCTGGGTATCCTCAGGCCTGTGCCCTAACCACTGTGCTACCTTCCTGGCCCCTGGAGTGACCTTCCCTTCATGGCTGCCAATGACCCCCTCCTGCTCTTTGCTGCACTCTGACCTCATCCAGCTCAGTCCAGAAAACAGGAAGCTCGGGGGGCCGGGGTCACAGCAGACTAAGAGGGGGCCCCGGGTGCCACCCCGCACGGCGTCACTATTCTGGCCGGGCTCAGGGAGTGTGGGGCTTCCTGCCGGGGTCCCGCCGGGGCTTGGGAGGGTGGCTTGGGAGCCCCGAGCGCAGACCCCCCGAGAGCCGGCGCACAAGGGCCCCGTGGAACCCCCCACCCCATTCGATTCCTCTCTCTCCCATGGGGCTGGGACTCGGAACCAGCCGGGAAGGTCCCACGGGGCTGCCCCTGGCGCCTTTCCGGAAGCAGAACCAACACCACCTGGTACGGGCTGCCCCTGACTCCCCCCAGCCCGGCCTGGTCTTCCTTCTCCGAGCAGGAAGAACTCCCATTCGGGAACAAAACGCGCTCCTGTCTTCCGTTTTGTTTGTCTGGGGGCCACACCCGGCTGTGCTCGGGGCTGACTCCTGGTTCGGTGCTCGGGAGCCACTCCTGGCAGGGCTTGGGAGACCAGAGGGGGTGCGGAGACCCACCCAGGGGCGGCCGAGTGCAAGGCCTCAGCTCCTTCATTTGTACAACGTCAAGCTCCTGGGTGGCAGAGCTAGTCCAGGCGTCAAGGGGCTTGTCCTGCGGGGGCCTGATGCTGGTTTGATCCCCTGCGCCCTGCGAGGAGTGATCCCCGAGCACCACCAGGAGCGGTCCCGAGACCGCCCCTCCACCCCCCCACGGCTGACGTCTCCCTGCCAATG